CCACAAACCAAAACAAAAAAGGGTCTTGACATTAGAGATATGAAAGAATCACATGATTACTAAGCTTTTGGCTTGAGCAACTGGGTGGGTGGGAAATCCAAATTAGGAAATCCAAGAAAAGGAGAAGATTTAAGAATGAGATCAGGAAAAAATAATGAATTCTACTTTCGTCATGCTGAGGTACTCATGCAAGGATCATTATTTAGGCCCCTAGTTCAAACATATTTAAAACAGTTTGATTAACAAAACTCAGATACATAGTCCACTGTCAATAGAATTTATTTTTGCATTTAGTAACCTACAACTATCAAGTCATATACACCATTTATCTTATTAATATGGCATTTTAAATAGCATATTTCTTTTTAAGTGGTTGACTAACATGGCCCTAGTAAAAATAAATAAGCAGTATAAAACATTGTACCATATAAATTTTCTTCATTAGTATGAACTTATGTTTGGCTTAATAGAGATACAGATGGTTACACATAGAAGTGTTACACTTACGTAGATATACACCGACCAATATGTACAGATTTCTTTTCTCTGTCAATTTGGAAGGCTTAGAGCAACAACACCCCAGTAGCAATGAGCCCATCTAGCCTCCAGATCTCAGTTTCTAATCAAAGTCTACAATAAAAGGATCCAGAGAAATGGCTGATTGTAGGACTGGCGCAGGAAATGTACACAGTGAGTCTGGAGCATTATGTACCAGGAAGTAAGGAAGTGCTTCAAAAGCAAAAAACAAAACCACTCTATATTGGTGGGGCTGTCAAAAGTACACAGGAAATGAAAGAGTTCCTAATGGCCAAAGCTGGAGCAATTTAATTTACACAACACAAAAATGACTATTAAGTTATAATATAAAATATAAATATTCAGGATTCCATAATGTGAGATGAATAATTGCGTAAAGGGATAAATAATGAAGAGGCAAAGTTCCTTTGAAAAATGCTGAGTAAGAGCTATTCTGCTCTTGAGGAAGTGGAGTTGAACTCCCCGTTCCTTAGGTGTGAGCTGCATGTAATGACTTTCTTCCAAAGAGAACAGAAAGGAAAGGAGGAGGGGAGAGAGTCACTCAGCACTGGAGAAACCTAACAAACATTACCTCATTCAGGTGATCAAGGTCAGTTTCAACAATGGTAGGTCATGTTGACTCTGTACTTTTGGTACGATGTAATGAAAATAGTACTTTACCTCTGTGATTTTTCCACCCCAAAAAACAATAATGCCAATCTAATACTGAGAAATACCAAATCAATTCCAATTGAGGGCACCCTACAAAATATTTGACCAGGGCTTCTCAAAATTGTCAGAGTCATAAAAAATGAGAAATCTGAGCGAACGTGATAGTCAAGAAGACCCTCAAGAAATATGATGACCAGATGAATGTGGTCTCCTGGATGGATTTGTGGAATAGAAATATTACATTAAGTAAAATCTAAAGCAGGGCTGCAGGTGTAGTAACACCTCGTATTATGATCTTACTTAATTAAAATATACACATCTGAATTGCATGGGAGGAAAAAGGAAATAAGCAATAAGGTTAACAGTGATTGTCTGAGTATTGGGATAGTAAGTAATTGCTATTTTCTATTTTGTACTTTAATATACTTCCCAAATTTCCTACTACAGACATGTGTTATTTTAATATCATAAAAAACAAAAATTATTTATGTCCTTAGGGAGACTATCTTATAACTGGAGGGGGAAAACATACTACTCAGAAAACAGAACACAAAAAATAAGCCCCATAATTTGGTAGGAAAGAAGAGATCAGAAAAGTTGAGAGAAAGTTTATCTTTTTTCATATAAACATGGCAGAAATTTAGTATCTAGTAAGAAAAATACATACATAGTAAGAATAAAAGCTCAGGGTTATAGTTAACTTTTCCCAGGGGAAATTGGCCTCTTTCCCTGGCCATTGGTTTTTAGGGTTTCCATTTATCACCAGTGCCAATCTGAAATGTGAACAGCATTTTAGTTTTAAAAGTGGATATATGTGGAAACACAGCCCCCTAACATAAATAATTCATTTCCACGTTTAAAAAACAATAACTAGCCAGGAGTGGTGGTGCACACCTGTAATCCCAGCACTCGGGAGCCTGGGGCAGGAGGATCACTTCGAGTTCAAGATCAGCCTGGGCTACAAAGTGAGCTCAAAGCCAGTCTGAACTGCATAGAGAGACCCTGTCCCAAAAAGACAATAAATAAACAAACAAACAAACAAACAAAAAATAAATAGCTATAGATAATATGTTATGCTTCAAAGACACTGATAAGAATCAGAAGCGAGGTTGCTTCTGAAAACAGCATTCTGGACATTATTTGCAGTTTTTAGTCTTCTGCAATTCTTCCTATTAGAGAATTTATTAAATTGTAAAAATAAAAGAAAAATTTCACACTACAATATTTTCTCTTTAAACAAGGAAAATGTTGCAAGATAGACTGCTCTTAAATTAACAAACATCTCAAATCATCCTTGTAGCCCAGTCACTTAAACACACAGATATACTTAGGAATTTATATATAAATACTCATATTTCATTCACTCTAGGATGCTATTAATTGTAAAACACAATTATTTTATGAGTCATAAGGATTGAAAAGTGCTGCAAACTGTGCCATTGCTCATCAAATTGTAAGACGAATCCTGTTAAAATGTGAAAAATGTGCATTTTTGAATCAGTGAAATAGGATGCACATGTTATGACCATTAATGAACGTCTGCAGCGCCCACAGAGACGAGGCCAGGCTACAGGCTTTGTCTGTCGTAGTATCCATGACCACACAAATAACGCTCTTGATAAATCTGCAAATGAGTGAGTGAGTGAATGAACAAATGAATGAATTGTAGATCTAATGAGAGTTTTTCTCACATTCCAAGTACCTCAGTGATAAATGAAATAATGCCTTTTAAATCAGCATTAATGGCTAAAAAGTACCACAAAACAACAATATTATCATCTGACATTTATTTCTTTGGAAAGAAGCCGTGGATATGATTAAATTCTCATACATAAGAACCACCCACCCCTGTATGAAGCAGGTGAAGTTGATTTGGGCAGTCTACATGAGTAAGCTGAGATGTTTAATATACCAAGTGAATCGGGTGGGGGAGAGCAAGCTGTTATCACCTCCTACTCTTCTCTGTTTTTAAAAGACAGCCAAATTCAGGGACTCTGTCTTTTACCTTTGAGAAAAGACTTAAATGCTTGCTTTTATAGCATCCTATAATGGACATACTATTGTTTGGTCCAGGCACTATTTATTTCTGCTATAGGAAAGGCATTTAACAGGAAAAGAAAGCGATATCTTCATTTAGGTCGATAGAGGATATAATCTAAAGTGATTATCAAACTAAATTCATATACAGAGACACATATGTAAGAGTTGTGTCTGTTCTCCCGGGGAAGTTACACCATTGACTGCTGGGGTTATGCAGTAGTCTACTTCCTCCTCTGTCCTCTACCCCAGGCCTCCATCCTCTGAATAACCGTCAGCATCAAACAACTGCCAACTTCCAATGCAAAGTGGTCCATAAGGCTGGCTGGACTGGACTGAAACTCTTCAAGATGGCAAATGCATAAGAAAAGGTCCTTGTCAGAATATGTTATAGGTTATATTTGCACAGAATGTCTCTATATTAATTTTTAAAAAACAGCTAACACATCTAGGTGAGTTACTGTGCAGCTGAGTACATGAACTGATATTCTGGGCTTCCTGTCAGTCATTGACCAAGGAAAAGAAAAACCCACATTCATTTACTTGCTAATCTACCCATTTCATACTCTTAACTGAAAAAATACTTTGTAGGTAGAACACATACAATTTTGAATTTTAAAAAGTGTGTTTGGATTATAAATGAGTCTATTTATAGACCAGGACTGACCATCATATTGGTTGGGTGGAGGTATATTGCTCCCTGTCAAGAAGTTTTTGTTTATGAGAGAAATAAACTTGTTTGTAATTGAAACCATGATCCTAAAGTACATAGACAGTGAGGGGCATCATAAGAGGTGCCAAGAGAATCCTGAAAAGGACTGGATTGATTCTGATCGAAAGCAGCGAGGAGGGGCTGGGGATTTAGCTCAGTGGCAAAAAGCGCCTGCCTGGCAAGCGCAAGGTCGTGAGTTCGGTTCCCGGTACCGGAGAAAAACCAAAAAAAAAAAGAAAGCAGCGAGGAATATTCATGGAAGAGAGATGAGCGTGAGGGTGTAGAGAGTGGGCACAGGCAGAAGCCACTGTAAAATAAATACTGGCCTCGATTTCAGCGGAGGTGAGTTATGTATCCAACAGTCGTATGCGCCACACGACAGATGCACACACGTATATGTATGTATACAGAAAGATGCAAGTTTAGTGCACATTGCAGTTTATTAATAACTGCACATATTGAATCACACAAAAACCTTAGAGGGATGACGGACTCTGTTGCAGGTTGATTAGCAGCACCACTGTCCTCAGCACGCTGGATCTCAGCACAGCAGTCCTCATCCAGGTGTGACAACCAAAAATCATCTCCAGAGGGTGTCCTAGGTGGGGGACACTGGTGTGCTCTACACAAAAACACAGTATGCACAAGAGGGTTTTTTCTTCTCTGTAAGTGGGTAAGAATTCTGAAGTTTATGCCCTGGATTTTCTTTTTAAGTCCATTTTTCAACTTTTCTCTCCCACCTCAACCCCCAGAGAATCTCACTCTGTTGCCCAAGCTGGTCTTAACCTTGAGACTCTAACCTGGACTCTAGACATGCGTCACCATGCCATGCTGGTTGTTAACCTCTTCTGGTCGGGAGCCTTTCAAAACCTGACAGATGCGACTCCTTCTCACACTCTTCTGGCCTTGATTTCTGTCTAGTCTAGCTTCTTCCTTCCTTGATTGTCCAGTTGAATGAGAAGTAAAGAACCAGGGTCAGGTAAGAAAAGGGCCACTAGCCAGACATGGTGGCACACGCCTGTAGTCCCAGCACTTGGGAGGTTGAGGCAGGAGAACTGCCGCAAGTTTAGGGCCAGCCTGGACTGCACAGGAAGACCCTGTCTCAAAAAAAGAGTCACTGAGCACTTGATTTTGATTGTGAAATATAACGAGAGAGAGACAGCGAGAGAGAGAGCTCCAAAATCTGAGTAAATTATGATTTTTATAAGCATACACCCTGAGTACTCCTAAAACACTACACAAACCCAAAACCTCGTTAATATACACAAGATCAACCAGGGATCCCCTTCCCTCCTGTCCGAGCGCACCGGCGCTGGACCGCGGAGCTCCGGGACGCACCGGACCTCGGGTCCAGGTGAGCACGCGCTGACCTTGTCCTCAGCAGCGCAGCCCCAAAGGAGCCGCGCAGGGGCAGCCTGGCCTCCCCTCGTCGTGGTCATGGAGTGTTGGGATCCGAGTGGCAGGGACAACCAGAGAGACTCTCGGCCTCCGGGTTCTGCAAGGGAAAGCACGCGGGAGGGGTAGGGTTTCTTTCCCGGTAGGAAGCGGGGGAGAGCGCAGACGGTGTGTCCTTCCTTTGGGCCAGGGCGTCCCTGTTGCTCCATAAATAAAGCGTCTCCCTGCCTTCTTTCTGCGCGCGCTATAAAGGCGCGGACCTGCCGTCCCCGGCACTGGGGAGGCGCTCGCGGTCGCAGCAGGTGGGTAGTGAGCTGGCCGCCCGGAGGGGACAGTCGGAGACAGCGGGGCGGACCGGGCCAGCTCCCGAGACGCCGAGGGAGGCGACAGGGAGGGGACGCCTGCTCCCCCAGCCCCCAGAGAGCGGCGACCGGCTGCCGGAGTGTGCAGGCGGCGACCGCATCCTCAGGACCGGGAGCGTCCGTCCGGTGCGCCCGGGCCGGCCGGGATTTCAGGACGCGGACAGCGCCCGGGCGGCGG